GATTCTATGACAGAATTTAACTTCCCTGAAAAACTTGTTGCTACTACCTTAACACAGGCAAACTACGAGTAAAGAAACAGAAAAGGTACTTTTCCATTACGAACCTGTTACATATTTTGTAGGTACTATTGTAATGATATGTATGTGTTTAATCACTCTTGTTTACACATACAGATACATGCATAGATAGCCTTCATATAATGCTATCTTGGGTCTTGACATGTATTTAGCTTCTCTTTCATAGGCATAAAAAAGGATGGGAAGTACATAACTGAAAAGTACCCAAAATAATTTTTCAGAGTCTGTTTGTTCTCTTTACAAATGGTTTGAGACAGGCCGATGCTTTGGCTTGTCTCCTCTTTAATTTAGCTCTTCAAAAAATGATTATCGACTTAAAAATAAATATTTTAGGAAGTAAGTTTAACAAATCAGTTCAAAGTCTTAGCATTTGAAGTGATATTGACATAATTGCTAGAACTCCTAAAGCACTCAAAAGAGCATTTCTCTCAGTGGAGGCCGAAGTAACCAAAATGCACCTTAGCATCAAACAAACAGAAACTAAATATATTTATAAAATACACTAAGTCAAAATTTAATCACTCTTAGAAACAGACAAATATAAATTTGAAGTTACTGAATGCTTCACATATCTTGGCTCTGCAAATGAATATAGAGAACAATATATCTCCCAAAATTTGTAACAAAGTAACACTAGCTAACTGATGCTTATTTGAATAAAGAAGTATCTGAAATTCAATATTCCAAAAGGACAACTAAACTGACAGTTTACAAATGTTTAATTAGATCTGTTTTGACATATAGAGCTGGAATCTAGACACTGGCTGAAAAAGATAAAGAAATACTAGCAGCCTTTGAAAGAAATATTTTGAGAAGCCTTGTTGGAGGTATTCAAATAGATGACATCTGGAGATGAACCAAGACAGAAATCTAGAGGACATACAGGTATCCAGACATCATAAATTTTAGCAACATCCAATGATGATCTAATCAGATTGCCCCAAAATAGAACTACCAAAAAATATTCACATACAAGCCAATATGCACTCAAAAATGAGGGAGACCAAAACTCAGATGACTAAACTGTCTGGAGAAAGACTTGTCTCACTTAAAGGTCATTAACTGGAAGACTGAGGCCAAGAAAAAAACAGCCTGGAATGAAATTCTAAAGAAGGCCTAAGTCCATAATAGCTATCAAATCACTGAAGAATTTAGACAAAAAATTAACAGGTGAAATAAATTGGTTGATCTTAGAATATATCCTCTCTACACATATAAAATATCCAATTTTATGAATTTCTGTTTGACAGAAATCCCCCTAACCCCAAAAAAAAAGAAGTAAATTGTTAGAAAATTCGTAATTATCAACTCAACTGAAGTGATTACTTTCCTATTAGATCTTTTACCATATATTATTTCAACATTCTAGTTAATCTCTTCGGCAGACTGACTGGGCTATTGATAGATGTCAACAACAATACGACCATGTCACAGAACTGTAGTCAGAATTGCTAACATCAGACAAAAGATGGGGAAAAGTTCACTCATATATGACCAGCACTCAGATAGATAATGGAAAAAAAATGACTGACAACTCATTCACCAAGTCAGGAAAATTAGTGAGCCATGTATTAAGGTGACAGGAGTTTTATATCAGGCTGTTTGGACAACTATAAAACAACTGGATGATTGGCAAACTTGGGCACTTCTGTTCAGAAAGCTTTACCGTGGAAGGATAAATATAATAAGTCATATTGGAAGAAAAACATTCTAATTCAAAATTTAAACTAAGCAAAAAAGCAACTTCAATTTGATGTAGATTTTTAATAAAATTATTAATTCCCAAATGATCAGACACAGGTCCATCTTCTTCATGAACAAAAAAAAAAGTTTTCTTCATTTGACACTTTTTTAACCTCTTGAAGAAAAAGGACCCATCTCTAATCATTCTTTAAATTATGTCTTTTTTAAAAAACTTTTCATCTTATGAAACTTAATTAGATGAAACACGTTTCAGGAAACTGCAAACAGATAAAGTTTTAAAAAATAGAAAAAATATGAAATACTGCAATGAGTATTATGCAACATATTATGTTCACTTCTTAGATCTCAGATTATCCCTGTTTGGTCTCTAGTTCAAATAATCTCAAAAAAAAAAAAAAAAAAAAAAAAAAAAAAAATCAGACTTAACAAAATTTTAAGAGATCTGCATGTCCAGTCCTCAAAGAATTCTCAAATATGAGTCATACGTACTGGGCATATTTAAAAGGTTTCACAAATAATAATGGCAAGAAACCCATCAACCATATTTTTTAATTCAATAGCTAAAATATGCAGTGTGTTAAGATCAAAGTCTAAAAAAGCACAGATCAGTAGGATCCCCAGTTCCATACATCCAACCATGGGCATGATTTACTAATAAATGAAAAGACAATTTCAGTAAGTTGTATAAATTAATATATTTTTGCCTTATTATATGATTGCATGCATCTCACTATAATTACATAATTATTTATTAAGTGCTATTATACACGTTTAATTATTATTTCTTAATTACTACATAAATTTCTTCCAAGAATCTCTTTCTTTTTTTTTTTGTGTGTGTGTGTATGTTTCCCAGACTGCACATAATACATACGGAAATTATTGATGTTACAATTCATCATATATCTGATATGGCAACATATGAAATAGTGGAACAGCTTTAGTATTGGTTCTTTTAGCGACAAACTTCGGTCACCAATGTATACCCGGCTTTGAAGATCGGAAAAAAATGGCAGATTTTCAACAAAACCCGATCTAGACTAAATAACAATCCTAAAAAAAAAGCTCTTGATCAGAATAAAGTCTTTCTCTAATTTTCAACATTTCTAGTACTGCTATGATAAATTCTTGAAACACTACTGTAAATGAATTTATGGCAGTGATTACGTTATGAGTAATGAAATTTACAAAAGGTTAATATTTTAAATTTCAAAATATAATATTAATGTATTAATCATTAATATTTTAAGTAGTTAGTTAATATTTATATTATATTAGTACTTAGCTAATATTTTAAATTTACAAAAGGTTAATTTTTATGTTATGAATAATGAAATTTACAAGAGGTTCATAAATGCATTTCAAACTAGTAGGATATGTTACTTTAGGTTCTTAGATTCTGTTATTAAAAGAAAATAAAATAAAAAAAATATTTCAAAGTGAAGGAAATCAAATAATGAGCAAGTTTTGTAGCAGCGTTAGAAATACTTTTTATGATTAAATTTTGTAAATGGTAAAAATATTAAGAAGTGTGTATTTTTTAATCCCTAAATTTATTACAAGTAATTTATGATTATAATTTAAAAGCTAAAATTAAATTATCATAATGAGTAAATTTTTTACCAATGGTAATAATACAACAATCATGATTTCTGTGAAAAATTCGAACAGTCATTGGAATCCACTAGTGGTGGAGTGATAAGCCACTGAACAGTGGTAGTTCAGGCTGGGAGTTTTTGTGGTTTTCCGTACATGTAATGTGAATCTGAGCCAGTTTCTCTTAAAAAGTACTTTATGAAGGCATCCTTCTTCTGCTAGCCAGCATATATATTTATTTTCTATTCATAATTCTCTCTTATTTTCTTAATTCTAAATCTTACTTCTGAAGTGAAGAAGTGTTGCATCTATAGATCGAAAAATATGGTCAATATGTTTGCAAAATCCTGTTCAGTTTTGGACAGCATTTAAATAAAATAAATAATTTGTATATGATGCAAACAAAAATGCATTACACTATTTCATGTAGTGAATAATTAATCAGGGCACAAAGTATAATGTAACATTCTTTATTTTGTAACCAGAGTTATTTTATGCTTGGGATCTTTACTGTCAATTTCATCCATCCATTTTCCCACCAGTATCTAAATGAAGTTTTTAGTTTGTACATCAAACCATGTTTTGCCTTTCGAGGCCATGTTGCTAGATAAGATAAGATTTGTAGCCTTCAGTCTTGCATTGTAATTGCTGATAGTTGAATTCCATGCCATTTAAGTTTTTAACCAACTTTGCATTAAATTGTTTTATTTGAATTTAAATTTTACATTTGAACTTAATTGTTATCATAAGTTATCTTGCCACAAGTGGTTGACTGAGTTGTAAGCACAAAGTGTGCCTTCTGTTCTGTACATCTAAACTTTATAAGAGAATAAAAGTATATCTGAACTTAATAAGAATATATCTAAACTTTATAATAGTAACATTTAAAGACATTGAAATCAGTATCTAAGTGCTTGCCATGTAGTCAAATTTTTATATATAAATTGTACTCTTACTTTTATTATAGAGTTTTTATAACAAAAAGTCAGATTTCTGTTAGATAAAATGCTTAAGTAATGTAGAAAATTGGCATAAAATTTTAATAAAAAGTTGACTGTTATGTCAACATACTATCAATAAAAGTAATAATACTCAGTGAATGTTATTCATATACAGCTATTAGGTTGTAAGATTTACAAAATTTGAGAACTGTAAATTATAAGCAATGTATTCCATAATCTAAGCAACATTATATTTTTTATAGTCAGTCAAATTATAAAAAAGTTATAAAAGCAATAATTTTGGTCCTGATTTGAACCTATGAATTCATGCAATTACACATTCTATAGTTCTAATATGAGGCAAAAAAGTATTTTTAGACCATGGTAATTTTGATCTCCTTAGCAAAGGAAACACAGAGAGCTTACCTCATGCTACTGAAAATGTGTTTTTTTTTCCTTTTTTTTTTTTTTTTTTTCTTGGGTGGAGTTTATAATATGCAGAGTTGACATATGAAAAAAATGTCGACTCATGTGATGTAATATTAAAAGCATCAGTTTTAACTATCAAATTTTAGCTTTTTTAAAAATATTTTAAATGTTGTGCTTTTCTAACACAAATGTAACTTTAAGAAAAACATGCAATTTAACCCTCCCTCCTGCCATCAAAGCTCTGATACCTACCAAATTCGTTAAAGTTACGTGGACAGAAATGGCGGCATGTTTTTCAGCTCAGTATTTAGGTTTACCAAGGTTATCATCATTTTACATTTATCGCTCCAAAATGTAGCCAAACAAATTTCTCGCCAAAAAGGACTAATACTAAAGAAGACTGCATTATGCAGATGTCTCAGTTATTTGCTCTAATTTTGGAGTCATCTGCTTTTTAGCAGCACTACATACATTTAATCTTGTAATTGTTCAGTTGTCAAATTCTCAGACAAAAATTGACTTTTAGCCAGATTTTGAGTTATTTGTTACGACTTCTCACTTGGGTCGATGAAAATTTTCAATTTACTTATTCATTTCCTTACTTGTGTATAAAAGTTTAATACAGCACAGCAATAAAAAATGTGAAAACTAGTTTCGTAACTTACAAGGAATTTTCCAAATGACTAAAGCTGTAACAAAGATTTCTAATAATATTAATAACGATGCTATTAGCCATGAATATTCTGGATTTGTTAACAATATTAAAATATCATGCCACAAGTGTCCAAAATCCAATCTCTTCTTAAATTGCTCTGCCTTCAGCTGCCTTTTAAGACGAGACTTTTGAGTAGCCGGTGCCATGTTTATCTGTTGGCTTGCGGTTATGACTTACGATGCATTCTTTTTTATTAATCATCGTCAATATCAACATTTTTATATTGTTGAAGTTGAGATTTTTCAGAGCTTAGATCACAATGAATATTCTTAGCGTACAGAAGTCATTATAACATATTTACACAATTTTAGGAAAAATTTCTGGACTAAAAATTTGTGAAGAAATGACGGCAATACATTCACAGACGCTTTAAATTTGAGCAGACTGCACTGCGCAGTGTGTACGTTAGTTTCGAAACGGAAGTTATGCTTATTTAGGTTTCCGAAGATTAATTTTTCATTGTGATTGTTATGGCAAATGCAGGTTTTGGGACTGGGAAAAGTTTAATTGTATTAGCTATTGTTGTGGGGTGTTTTGCTATATTATGGCCAAAAATATTCTATCCAATGATGCAGACTGCTTTTGCTATGACATCGCCCAAAATAGACAGCGATGGTAAGTTCCCATTCCTATAGAGTGTTCTTAAATTTTGACGTTATTATTTTGAATACACATCTGTGTTCGGTTTCAAAATATTGATACTTGGAAATTTGTGAATTTGCATGTGTAATAAGAAATGTCATTCAGAGGCTTTTCAACCGTTTATTATATATTTTATAAAGAATAGCATTAATAACTGTGCTTCCCTTGACTTCAGCAAGAAATTTGGATAAATGTCAGTGCCTTTTAACCGACGTTATATTTTTATTTGTCAAGAAGGATGGGTGGAGAATTTTTCGTAGTTTGCGAATGATAAAGGTATCAACTGATATGTATCGTTTTGAATATTAATTTTCTTGGTGCTACTTTTTTATTCTTTATATTAACCAGGATGAATTCCGACTTTTGGAAAATAAAATCTTAAATTTAGCTATTATTGGCGATACAACAGTAACTTGTATTTAAGGAAATTGTTTACATCAACATTCATGTATGGTATGTCATTCCTGCATGTTTTAATGCATGTCAGCTGCGTTTTTTTTTTTTTTTTTTTTTTTTTTTTTCATGATCAACTCAAGCAAGCAGCTTTTCTTTAAACTTTGCACTGTCAATATTTTAATGAAAGAAAGTTGAATATACCTGTTTCAATTATTTAGGATTAATGCACAACATTTCTTAGCGTATTCTTAATCCTTTTGAATTCTGTTTTTTTTTCCTTTTATGAAAATATCAAGTGTTAAATTTGTGGTTTCTATTTTATCTTCTTCAGCAGGTAAAGAGATGTGAACAAATAAAAAATATGCAAAGGCTTTCATATTATTTGTTTTATGAAGTTAACAAATCATTTAATGAACGATGAATGTGAATTCATTAAACAAACTACTTTATTTTATTTCCATTGCTTTCTTTAATTATTATTTTATGTAATATGTTGAAATCAAGAGCATTTATTGTTATAGCATGGGTACTTTTCTGTTATGCATGTACCATACATTATGGTGGGATTTTTTAATTGTAAATGATGTCTAGTTATGAAAATAATTTATAGATGGTAAACAAGCCTAACATGTACATAATGGAAGAGTATGGCAACATTTTATATTCATTTCAAGATTTTCTTGAAAAATTATTCACTTTTACTTGATAATAAAATCCAAATTCTCCCCCCCCTTTCCTTTTTTTTTTTTTTTTTTTTTTTTATCTGTGTCCCTTGGCAAAAATCGACTTATTTTCATTAAAAAAAAGATAAGAGAATTGTGCAAACGTGGCATTGCATACTCCCTTGACTTTGTCCATGTAACACATCGATCTATTTTAACTTAAAAAGTCAAAGGAGGAAAAAAGTCCAAATTCTATAGTAAAGCCAAACAAAAAATACATAATCTTAATAAACTACATTTTAAATCAAACAATAAAATAATGTAAAAAAAATTCATCTTGTGTATCTAAGCTCTACACAAAGCAAATATCCACTTACCTTATTTAGAAATTGCCTAGCCATTCAAACTGTGGCCCACAAAATTCTTTGGCTAATCTTTGGAATATAGTAACAGGCAGTTTGGCGACATTTTGGTAGGCGATATAAAGGTTACTACCTAGGATTTTAGCAATAATGTGAGAAGTTCCCAGTTCCAATTACGCATTATTTTGTGTGAGAAAAATGAATTTAGCGACCAACTCTGCTACAGCAACCCTTTATTTTTTTAGACATGTTTCTTTTCTTTTTATTTACTGAACACTTTTCCACCAATTTACTAGCCGAATTACACTTATGCTAGAAATTTTATGTAACAAAACTGCTTAATCATGACAAATATTAACTGCAAAATTGGGAAAAAGTGCACAATCGCAAACTCCTTGCGCGTTTTTCAGAATAGCACATACACATAAACCATTTCACGTCGACTTATTTTTACTTAAAAAAACATCCCAGAATTGCACAAAAATGGCATTGCACACACTCTTAACTTTATCCATCTACACTGCTATTTTCTCATAAATTAAAAAAATTTGCATGAAAATGCAGGAAAATTATGTGAATCTTTAAACTCGGTAAAAAGCACGTATATGAAATTACCTGATCGCGAAAAAGTATACAGTCAAAAGTCGTTAATTCGGACACCCATAATCAGGAATGAGCTATAATCCAGACCTTAAAGCTAAAATCTTTCTGCGCATGCACTGCGTTGACACATGCGCATAGGCGTTTACGCGTGCGCGCAAGACCTTTACGACTGCGCGTCTGCGGAAGCGCAGAATACATTTCTGCGTGCACGTTTAATGTATAACGGACGGTATAAGCTAAAATTATCTAATTATCTATTTCAATTAATGTTGATGATTGCGTTGTTCCTTAATCTTCGAATTGGATCCGACTTATTATTTTTTGCAGACTGTAAGAGCAATTTTATAAAAAGTAAGCTTGAACTTTCAATTATGTCAAATAGAATTTCCGATGCTGGAGCTCCCAAAGGATCTACAAAACGAAAGTATGTTTCGATGTCCATCAAACAAAAAGTGGAATTGCTACAAAAAATGGATAAAGACATATCATTTGTTTATCTAACCGTTCCGAAATCTGTTTATCAATTTCACGCTGCTCTGTGCAGGGGGAGGGACGTTGTGGTGCACAATGAACTGGAAGTTGATTTCTCAACATTATCGTTATCTTCAGGGCAGACGTTTTTATTTTATTCGGCTTATAATTCCTTACTAAATGTAGTATTTTATCTCGATGTACTCCGTCTTTGATATTATTTAAATCAAATTCCTCGTCATTATAAATATCGCGAATACAAATCAAATAGTTTTCTGGTTGCAATTTTCTATCTTCGGCTATGCGTAATGTATGCTTTACGCATGCGTGCGTTGAAAGAAATGTTTAATAAAGTAAAGAAATAAATATTAAGCTTCTTTTTTTTGTTAATTTTGATACCCTTTAGATCATAATTACTCATTATTTTATAAATTGCAGTTTCATATTTTTAATTTTATAATTTCTGCATGCCATCTTACCAGATTTAAACTGATGATCTATAATCCGGAAAAATCGATAATCCGGAATCGCCGAAGTCCCGAAGAGTCCGGATTAAAGACTTTTGACTGTATACCCTTTCCAAGGATGAATATTTCCACATATAAAATAAATAAAATATCCAAAAACTTTTACCTCTAAATTATCTATTATGTTATAAACGTCACCAACGAATTTATACCGCAAACATTAAAAATGGTTACAAATACTTAGTGTCAAATATTTAAATTATTTCCATGCACGTTTACTGCAACTGAAACGTATACCAAATTGCTACAAACATAAAATTCACAAAATAACTATAATTTAATTAAAATATAACTAAACCATGTACACGTCGACTTATTTTTACTTAAAAAAAATCCCAGAATTGCACAAAAATGGCATTGCGCACACTCTTCACTATATCCATGTACACTGCTTTTTTCTCATAAATTACAAAAATTTCACGAAAATGCATGAAAATTTTGTGAATCTTTAAATCCAATAAACAGAACATATATGAAATTACGTGATTGCGAAAAAGTATATACCCTTTTTAAGGATGAACATTTGCACGTATAAAATAAATAAAATATCCAAAGACTTTTACCTCTAAATTATCTATTATAAATGTCACCAACAAATTCATAACGCAAACATTAAAAATGGTTGCAAATACTTAGTGTCAAATACTTAAATTATTGCCATGCACGTTTACTTCCACTGAAATGTATACCAAATTCCCACAAACATATAATTCACAAATTAACTATAATTTAATTAAAATATAATTAAATTAAAAAAACACTACTTAAAATATAAATAAGCACATACATTAAATTAATAAAAATTAGCTTACAATCCTAATTACTTTAAACTAAATCATTGCTAATAACAATTTTCCAATAATACCATATTACTTTATTTACTCCTAATATTTAGAACAACGCATAAAAATAATATCCTCAAATAATTAAAAATACTAACTTACCTAATCTTCTTCAGAGTCTTGATTACATGGCAGATAAACTTTTCTTATAGATTAAATAATCCAGTAGTCAACTGGCATTCTATTCACCCGCTAATAAGAAATTAATAAAATTTTCCCTATACTCAAACGACTTTCAGCAAACCACGTACCCTTCCTTACACTCCGTTTCACAAAATGTCCATTTTCACCAGATTTCTTGCATCGCCATTCAAACTTATCTGTAATATCCTTCCTTTGACACAATATCATTTCATTCCCTCATGTTGGACATTTATACTTATCTGCAATTAATCCTACACTCGTACACCATTCAACCAATTCTTTTGAATTATCAGATAAATGCATTAAAAATTTAGAATTCACTTTAGATAGTGCCATGCAATCCAAAAATTAATCAACACTCTTTCACACAACACATAATGAAGCTTAATACAAAATAATATAGTACTACAGATATTTTTCCAAATTTACCCCCTTTTCCGATTAAAGAATTGTAATTCGTTCATTAATGTCACATGACATACCTCATGATCTCTCATTTCCCTCACACATAATACGTAATCGGAACTGAGTACTTCTCACATTATTCCCAAAGTCCTAGGTAATAAATAACCTTTATCGCCTCCAAAATGTCGCCAAACTACCTGTTACCATATTCCAAAGATTATCCAGACTTTGTAGTAAAAGAATATTTGGCTAATCTTTGGAATATAGTAACGGGTAGTTTGGCGACATTTTGGTAAGGCAATAAAGGCTACTAGCTAGGACTTTAGCAGTGTATATTTAGCAAATCAAGAGTATGGGCAATGCCATTTTTGTGCAATTCTGGGATGTTTTTTTAAGTGAAAATAGGTCGACGTAAACATGGATACCGTGTATGTGCAATTCTTAAAAACGCGGCAAGCAGTTTGCGATTCTGCACTTTCTCCCAATTTCGCACCTAATCTTCGTCATGATTGAGCACTTTTGTTCCATAAAAGTTGTAGCATAAGCATAATTCGGCTAGCAGATTGTTGGAAAAAAAATGTTGAGTAAAAGAAAAAAAAAATGGCATCCAAACAAAAACTAGCAGGTTGCTGTAGCAGGGTTAGTCGCCAAATTTTCGACAAAAAAATGCCAATTTACCATAATCCAAAGATTAACCGAATATTCTTTTAAAAATGTTAATGCTGTTATGAATTTTATTTTTCTGTAAGTCATCTATTTTAATTGTACTTGCATATATGCACATAGACACATACATGTGTGTAGATACATATATTTCCTGAATCCGGTCCCAAAAGCAGAAAAGTACCATATAAATTTTAATAAAGTTTATTTCCTAAATATTGATATATATGTAGTGAATTTTATGTAGATTAGTAAAGAGAGAAAATTGTTACTTATTATTGGAGAATTCCAAGAACTTTCTACTTCTGTTAACAAATACATTGTATTTTTCTAAGGATTTCGAGAAACTGATCGGCCTCCTCATCTTCATCCTGGTTCCATCAATCCTCGAATGAGGAGTTCTATGTCAGATGATGTGCAAGATAAATTTCACATGAGGGAAGGGAGGGTGAGTAGTCTGAGAATTTTTTACATGAAAGCTGGAGGAATAATTGTCATATTTTATTGCTTTATATTGAAATAAACTTCATTAGGGTGCTGTTTGAAGTTAAAATTTAAAAAAGGAAATTAATTAACAATGGTTAGTTCCCAACTTCAGATTAATGCACAACAATATTAAATGCATTCAAAATATTGAATGTAGCGATTAGAGAAAATTACATACTGCTAATTTTAAAGATTCTTAGGGGCTGTTTTTATATAATATGAATATTGTTTCATTTATTGAGAGATAATAGGCATGTCCCTGCTATGCAGTCAGAGTCTTTATATTTTGAGAGGAGACACATCAGTGCTTATGTATTTGGCCATGATCTGTTTTATCCAGTGTTGCCAAATGATGAAATTTATCGGCAGTAATAGGTAAGCATATTGCAATATGCTCATAAGAACTTTGCTTTTATGTTATATACAGTCAAAAGTCGTTAATCCTGACTTGTCGGGACTTCGGCGATTCCAGATTATCGATTTTTCCGGATTATAGATCAGCAGTTTAAATCTCGTAAGATGGCATGCAGAAATTCTAAAATTAAAAATATGAAACCGTAATTTATGAAATAAAGAACAATTATGATCTAAAGGGTATCAAAATTTGCAAAAAGAAAAAGCTTAATATTTATTTGTTTACTTTATTAAACATTTCTTTCAATGTAAGTTGTTTAAGTTGCTTCGTTTTATGTGATAATACTTTCTCTTTAATTCTATTAAACAGACATAATTTCCTGTTCAGTTACAAAGTTCTGCTGTTCAAGTCTTATAATTGCTGTGTCAAGAACACCGACTAATTTGTCAATCGAAATTTTTTCGTTTTCAATAACCTCTGTCACTTTTCTTCGCTATCGGAAGCGAATTATAATGACGAGGAACTTGTTTTAAATCATATCAAAGACGGAGCATATCGAGATGAAATACTACATTTGGTAAGGAATTATAAGCCAAATAAAATAAAAACATCTGAGGTGAAGATAAGGATAGTGTTGACAGATCAACTTCCAATTCATTATGCGCCGCCCTGCGCGGCGTTCCCCCCGCCGAGCAGCATGAAATTGATAAACAGATTTGGGATTTCAAAACATACTTTCGCTTTAGATCCTTTACGTATTAACAAATATATATCGGAAATTCTATTTGATATAATCGAAAGTTTAAGCTTACTTTATAAAATTGCTCTTACAGTCTGCAAAAAATAATAAGCCGGATCCAATTCGAAAAATTAAGGAACAACGCAATCATCAACATTAACTGAAATAGATAATTATAGCTTATACGTCTATTATACATAAAACGCACAGGCAAAAACGTATTCTGCACTTGCGCACACTCATATGTGCAGTCGTAAAAGGTCTTACGTGCACACGTGAATGCCTATGCGCATGTGTCAACGCGGCGCATGCGCAGAAAGTTTTTAGTTTTGAGGTCCGGATTATAGATCATTCCGAATTATGGGTGTCCAAATTAATGACTTTTGACTGTAATCCATATTTTCAATAAGGTAAGTTACAGGAATGGGACTAAAATATGGAAACACCGAAATAAAAACAAATTGCTGTGACTAATATGGTGTAGGACAACCACTGGCATTCAAAACAATTTGCGGTCTTCTCAGAATGGGTAAATTGAGGTCTTGTATGCTTTGCAAAGAAATCTTGCACCATTCTTCCTGTAAAACATTGGCAATGGATAACACTCATGCAGATTTCTCTCCAAAAAAGCCCACAAAGGTTCAACAATATCGATATCTGATGACTGGTGGCCATGGTAGATGTGAAAGTTCAGCCTCATGCACAGAAAACCAGATCTGAGCAATGTGAACTGAGTGAATAGGATCTCTATCATCTTGGAATATGGCATCACTATTGGGGAATAAAATTTGTACATTGGGATGGACGAGATCAGCCAAAATGGTCACATAATCCTTGGCAGTAATGTGACCTTTCACAGTCGGTCCTGTGGAATGCCACAGTGTGGCTACCCAAACTATGACTAAACCCCTGCCATGTATCACTCTCAGTAGCAGTCTGTATCATATGCTTGGGACAGCATTTGCCAAACACAAACTCACCCAGAAGTTGAAAACAGTGTGAAGCAAGACTCATCTGACCAAATGACAGTCTTCCATTGCTGTACAGTCTAGGTTTCATGCCTTTGACACCACTCAGTCCTTTTACTTGATCACTGATGAGTGACTTTTGAATTGCAGCTCACCCAAAAATACCCTGCTTAAGGAGCTTCTTTCATATCATTTGGTGCTCACGGGTTGTGTGAGTGTGACAATTTGTTCAGCAATCACTTTTTCTGCTGTAATCCTTTTAATTTTTCAATGCAATCCTCTTCAGTGATTATCTGGCATGATGGCTCAATACACAATTTCCTCCATGCTGTGATTTAGCAGATGCAGTTTTTCCGGTTTTCCTGTATGAGTTAAAACTACTGTGTGCTGAAACACCAAACATTACTGGTACGTTGATTCTGGAAGCAACCCGCATCCAGCCGCAACAATTTGCCCACGTTTTGAATTCAATTTAGCTCTGATATGATGCACTCACAATTGCACAGAACACTGTCTTGATAACAAATGACACTTATAACATATTGAGGATTTTGCTGGTGGCGTTAGTAAGAAAACCCATCAGTGCTACCAACAGCTTTTGCAAGAATAAACACAGTTCAAGCATGCATTTTATGAGGTGTTTCCATATTTTTGGCCAAACCCTGTAGGTTTTGTAAGAAAATTATAAGTTAATTAGTATTTCAGTGCTTTTCTTTTACACTATGGAAAAAGAATTATAATTTGAGGCCCGCTTTCTAGAGTAGGCAAGCACTGGAGTATTTTAAAAGTTGCAAGGCTAGTTATACCATGGAGAAAAGAATAGAAGAAAAAGCATTAAATGATTTTTCCCATTGAAATGGTTTAAAGCAGTGATACCCCCTTGTTTATCAAAACATTCAGTAATTTGTGATTAAGATTTGAAAGTTTCAACACATTCTGTAGCAAACATTCTGCAATTATATCATAAGTATGAATGTATATATTTTCATATTCTGCAATATTTCAGAATCCTATTTATTTGAAATAATTGCTTTTTAAGCAATATTTCATTTTAAATGGAATTAACTGCTTTTAATTTTCCCATTTACACAGCATAATTTTAATTTGAATTAAATGCTTTTATTAATTCACCAATTCATTAGATTTTATTAATTGCATAAGACACTGTGTAGTTAACATCCATTCATTGTGTACAGGCCCTTGAATGGATGCTAACCATAATTGGCCACTCATTACATCAATATTGGTTATAATTGGCATTCATGTTTGTATGTGCTTGTATGAATGTCAATTATAATCAGCATTTCTAATGGCAGGATTAATTTTAATGCATGTGTGTACATATATATTATGTTAGTGAAACTAATTAAAGTAAAAAGAACAAACGATAAACGACCTATGTGGTCACCTATGTTAATATTTTCATGGAACCACAGTATCTAAGCAACTTTTTGGCGTACGAACTAGGAATTGCTCGAAAGAAATATTTTCTTTTAACTTTATGTTAGTGAAATATAAAGCATCATGTATATTGTTCATTAAAGTGTATATATGTTCATTAAAGTGTAAATGTGAACAATATTTCACTCTTAATTTCAGCCATTTCCTCATCCTCAAGCTAGACAGCCTGTTAAAACACAGCCTAAATCAGGTGGAGCCATGAGTATTATTATGCCCATTTACACAGTGGGAATAATTGTTTTCTTTGTGTATACAGTTTTAAAGGTAATTATCATATTATCTTCAATAAATGAAAGACATTTAGCTTTAATATTTGTTTTGAATATAAAAAATTTTAATTTCCTGTTATTAAAATAAGGTAGTAGACAGCCAGTATTTACTGTTGTATTTGTGTATATAAACTAATGAATTATGAAGAAATTACTAGATGACACTAGTGTTCCAAAAATCCTAATAGACTAATACATGGGAAAAACATGGCTTAAAATAGAAATGTGATTTTATATTTATATGTATATATAGAAATGTGATTTTTATATATATATATATATAATTCCAGTGTTAGTTAAAAATATTAATTAAAAAGTGCAATTATTGTTACAAGTTTTTATTAATATGAATGTATTATAAAACAATTATATTAAATAATTGTCTGTATAAGAAATAAAAAAATGAAAAGAATGAATAAATTCTTATAAGGCATTACTCTTATTAGTAATAATAGATAATTTAGAAGGTTGTTTTATTTATGATATGAATTTATTTCATGGAAAATGAAGATATTGTTTCTTACTTTTCTCAAAAGGATACTTGTGGTAAAATTTTGTTTTTGTGAAGAATTTAATTGTTTAAAAATTCTTTTTAATTAATGTAATATTAAAATACCACATACTGTATGATCAATTAGCATGCCATTATTTTAGATATTCCTTTAAACAGGAATACTTAAAGTAGCTGAACAGCATTAAACTGTTGTATTTTAAGTGTAATTCATAAGATCACAGTTTTATAAAAACAAAGTATTTTTTCGTTATCTTTCCAGCTTGTCTTTAAAAAGCCTTCTGAGGCTGATAAAAAGCCCTTAATCAAGGATTTTCACATGGATCCAGAGTATAGAAAATTCGTATGCCAACAGTCTTCTAAAGAAACTACAAAAAATTGCCGGGAAGAAAAAAGATCTAAAAAGAGTTCAAATCTTTCTGAAACTACCATTCCCGAAAGTTGTGGTAATATTTTTTATTGATTTCTTAATGTTTGTCTATTTTACTGAGTTGAACCGCATTATTATCACGCTGCGTAATATCAAGAATAAAGCATTTCTTTCAGTAGGGCAGTGCAACTAACCATTTTAGGAATGTCTTAGAATGTAAAGAGGATATTGCAACAATGTTTTTCAGTGTGAAGACTCTAATAGTTTCTGTCGTAAAGGATATATCCATCTAATGTTGAACCAAATTAGTTTTAGAGTTAAGATATATGGCATTAAATAGACAAGAGAATGGTTTAAATTCTTTCTCTTGAAGCAATTTTTGAATAGTTTTATAATGATATGGTATATTGCTATGCTGATGAATAGTCTAGCTTCATTTGCATTTAAAGTATGAAAGGTTTGCACATGAAAAAAACACAAAAAGTTTCAAGCAGGCAACCCATGTGCAGAAAGTTGAAGGCTGTGTAAGTTTGCAAATATGCATAGATAACTCGCATCTTTCTTGATAATTGATAATTTTTTTTTATCAACATGTGCCATTGTTGTCAGTTGAAATTTCTTATTTGTAAGCCCTTCATTACTATTTGTAAACCCTTTATTTTCAACAATGATTAAATGCAAGTGCATTTATAAGGCAAAGAAATATTCCATTAGACATCGGTTATGAAAAGTATTGTACAGAATTTTGTGTAGCTCATGAAAGTACCAGCAATATTTAATACAAGAACAACATAAAAAATTTGATCTTGCTGCCACCTTTTTCAGTTCTTCCACGTTTAATCTTTTTAAGAAAATAAATTCACCAAATCTGAAATATCTGGAAATTGTTCTGATGGAAGGTGCCTGTCTTATACTGTGCAAGAAAACTGTAGTTCACAGTTATTCAAATGGTTGTGCTAAGTTAAAACTATTTTGAACTTGCTGTTATGAAAACAAAATATATTGGTGAAAATGTTACTGAGCCAACAGTAATAATAGTAATAGGTAAATAAAAAAAAAATCTTGGTGAATGCAGCTGTGTTAATATATTAACTGATGCTTCAAACTAGACCTCCAAGAAAATATTCCTTGTTTTATTTGCTCCTTTTGACCATATAAAAGAGCATAACTTAAACTTTTAAAATTTAAAGACCATCCAGTTGAAATATTAGACATTATTATCAGTTGTCTAATGCAGGTATTGACAGAAAATAATTGGACTTCAAAAATCATGGCATTTTGTGAAGATAATACTGATTGGAATTTTGGCTGACTCGAAAGAGGAGGTGCCAACAACAGGTGATGAAAAGTTTATATGGAACTAAGTTTATCTCTCACAGAAGCGTTGATAGGTATCAGATGTGCTGCTAGCATAATTCACAACACAATTGAAATTGCCACAGATATCCTTATGATATACAAATTCAGCCACATATATACAGATTCAGATGTAAAATGTGTTATTGTGGAAATATATTCACATTTTTACATCTAATATACTGTTAGCATGGAAGCTTGAAAGAATTTTGTAATGAAATTGTCACTGAGTATTAGAAATAACTGATTTGTGAAAATTAAATGGTTTATGCTTGTGTGAGCTATTAAGGAAGTTCTGAAACTGTGCAAGCTATTAAAAAAATTACCTTTTGAGTATTGATAAATGTCCAAACATACCAAGAGCCATTTTGGAAAATTTTAACTCTGAATTATGGCTTTTTTATATTTTTTTCATACATATTCATCAATGCTTTGTCAAAGTGTTAAATGTCTAGGGACAGGATATTTTGCAATTGAAGCTATGAAAGAAATATTAAGTCACTTTAAAAACAATTTGTTCTTGAAACAGTGTACTATGTTTCTTCCACACTCTATTTGTAATGTAATGGCAAAATTACAGTCAAATGGTTGCAGATGTATTGATAAAGAATATCTAAAAACTGCAGACATTTAATTTTACAAAATAAGCAAAGATTACTTGGAGTAATAAACTTTGTTCTGTGAAGAATAAGAAATGTTTAAATCGACAAATTTAATGAAAATACCAACATGGGAAGAAATTCAAAGTGTAGTTAATGAATTCTGATGAATCAATTGCATAATTCTGATGAATTGATTGAAAAGTGATATATTCCTTATAACTAATAAACAGAAGTATTTGATGAATATTCACTTATTTCTAAGTATGTAACGCTGCAAATAGTGACAAAATGGAAAACTGAGAATGCTTCCAGCGAAAATCATTGAATGGTATCGTTCATATCAATAATTTGAAGCATATGAATTTTTGTATCATTATTTATATATATATTATGTCTGTCTAGTACTAATACACCCATGAAAAGAGTCTAATGAATAAATTGTACAAGTGAAAAAAGTGTGTTCTAAAAGTAGTGTTAATTACCTAAGTAAATTGTGTACTTGCATGTTATCACAAACTAGTAGTAGGTCATCAAATTATTAGGCCAAACTCTGGCAACTGTGCACATAATTGTTCTTTAGGCAAGTATGCTGATAACAATCCTTGTCAAGCAACATTACTGTTTTCGTATGCATTCTTTTTGTGGTATTCTAAATTCAAATGGCTTTTATAAACAAAACATTATATTTCTGTTCTTTATTTTAAAATATGTATTTGTAAAATTGGTGAATAATGGAAGAAATTGATAAAATTTCTTTAAGAATGTAGAATGTCATCCAAATATTTCTAAAAGGAGTGATGAGGAGATGCATTTGGTAGATAGCCGCTGTTGCCATGGTTTGTGCAGTGCTGAGTTTCTGCAATTCTTTCATTTGTTTTACACAGAAACAGATCACTGTGTATTTGGGAAGAACCATAGCACAAAGAAATTACAGAAATATTTGGAGAAGAATGTGCATTATTTTTTAATGTATCATATAATCCTTTTATAATAATAAAAATTTGTATTTTAAATTTTTAAGTATGTTTTCTTTTCATATGTCAGTAATGTTTGTTAATTTAGGAAACATACTAATAGTTCAGGGATCTTCTTTAAAAAAATCATGAAAACCACCAACTTACACCTGATAAAAAGAGCTTTTACCTTTCCATCTGTAAAATATTTCCAAATTGCACCAAGGTGGTTGTGTTAATATGCAAGTACTATAAATTAAAAAAAATCTTGCAAAAAATGTTATTCTTATTTGAAATCAAAACCAAATATACTGGAGTAAATTTGTTCATCAGAAAAGTATAAAACCAAGTAAATCATTTATTTTCACTAGGTCATTCATGTCCATTTCATTGATAAATAAAATCTATGAAGAAATACTGTGTTTTCTTGAATACAATTGTTGCTACCTTAAAAGTAGATGATGTCCCATTTCGAAAAGAAATACAGTCAAAAGTCGTTAATTTGGACACCCATAATCCGGAATGATCTATAATCTGGACCTCAAAGCTTCAAACTTTCTGCGCATGCTTCAATGTGCGCATAATGTGTTGACGCTTTATGTGCGCGAATACCTGTGTACGCATGCGCATGCACATATGCGTTTACGCATGTGCATTTAATGTATAACGGATGGTATAAGCTAAGGCTAAAATTATTCTAAGGCATTTCAGTTAATATTGCAGTTTGCGCTGTTCCTTAATCTTCGAATTGGAATCCGGCTTATTATTTTTTGGCAGACTGTTTTAGAGCAATTTTATAAAAGTAAGCTTGAACTTTCGATTATGTCAAATAGAATTTCCGATATATATTTACTAATATGTAAAGGATCTACAAAGCGAAAGTATGTTTCGAAGTCCATTAAACAAAAAGTGGAATTGCCGCAAAAAATGGATAAAAGCATAATTCTTTGTTTATCTAACCATTCCGAAATCTGTTTATCATTTTCATGCTGCTCTGGGGGGGGGGGTTTTAAACGCTGTGCGCCACGGAATGAATTGGAAGTTGATCAGTCAGCGTTATCCTTATCTTCAGGGCAGATGTTTTTATTTTATTTGGCTTATAATTCTTTACTAAATGTAGTATTTCATCTCGATGTACTCCATCTTTGATATGATTTAAATCAAATTCCTCATCATTATAATACGGTTCTGGTAGTGAAGAAAGTGACTCAGAGGTTATTGAAAACGAAAAAATTTCGATTGACAAATTAGTCGGTATTCTCGACACAGCAATTATAGGACTTGAACAGCGGAACCTTGTAACTGAAGAAGAAATGATGTCTGTTTATAGAATTAAAGAGAAAGTGTTTTCACATAAAACGAAGCAACTTAAACAACTTACATTGAAAGAAATGTTTAATAAAGTAAACAAATAAATATTAACCTTTTTTTTTGTAAATTTTGATACCCTTTAGATCATAATTGTTCTTTATTTCAGAAATTACAGTTTCATATTTTTAATTTTATAATTTTTGCATGCCATCTTACCAGATTTAAACTGATGATCTATAATCCGGAAAAATCGATAATCTGGAATCGCCGAAGTCCCGACGAGTCCATATTAACGACTTTTGACTGTATAGTCCAAGACCTGAAAATTAGATGCCCTCTTGTTTTGAGAGGGGGAGTAAATGGTTTTGTTATTCTTATGCCATTTGATATATAGGTGTTCTTAATGATTGTTTTTTTCCATATTTTATTATGAGGTAAAATACCTTTAAGTTTAGTATGTGAAATAGGTATAGCAACAGTTTAGTACGTTCTTGAATATTTATAGTATGTGCAACAGGCATTCAGTCATACCTAGAAGAATTTATGTGATGTCAGTACATAGAAAATGAAAATTCTTTTGAACCTCTTTTAATACCAGTTACAGAACTTTAAGTAGAATGGCAACCAGAAATTATACATAAAAAAATTAACGTGAGAAATTCTATGTAAAAGTAATTGTTGTTGTCCTTTCCTCTGTAACTCTTTTGGTATTTTTTGGATTTTGTGCCTAGTGTGTTTTCTCATGGTGCAGTGTGTTTAGCAATTGTCTTTCATAGTAAGTATTTCAGATTTTCTTTCAATAGTCGCAAATTATTTTATATTCTGGTACTATTCAGTTTTGAGGGCTGTAAAAAATTGCCAAACTATTGTTGATGCCAAAAATAATTGCAGCAACCCTAACGCTAGAAAGGAAGTATAATAGTAAATAACTATCTAAGATTGATGTTTTAATTTAGATGAAAGGTTAATTTCACATAATACTTTTTTATTATTATTTATATAAAAAAGGCTAAACATGACTGAATGGAAACATAAGAGTAAATTACCATTTCAGATCATTATTATAATTTATATAAAAATGTTAAACATAACTGAATGGCCTGTATCGCTATTTCGCTACTGAGTTATCGCTAAAGCATAATTTCATCTCGTTGGTTGTTCAAACATAATTTTCTATAATGAATGATGCCTTTTCTTTGAAAAAAATATTGGTAAAGTGCAGAATTGCCCACTTATTTGTTTGCCGCTTTTTACAAGGGTAAAAACAATTGGATTTTTGTCAATTTTCTTTTACTTTTTAAGTTAAAATTGATCGATGTTTACATAGATAAAGTCAAAGGTGTGCGCAATGCCAATTTTATGCAATTCTGTTATTTTTTTAAAGTGAAACACATCGACCTATTTGTGCAATTCTTAAAAACATGTATGTGCAATTTTTAGAAACGCGTCAAGCAGTGGGTGATTCTGCACGTTACCCAAGATTCTATTGCAGAGTTTTCCTCATGGGCAATTCCGAAATTGTTAAATCCATAGGCTATCAAAAAAGGATTTAAAAATTAAACTAGTAATTTAATATTGTCTTAAGAAAATAGAACTATATAAACTTACGCAATCTGAAATCAGCACGTAGACTAGATTTGGCACGCTGTTAAATGGGCGTGTTTGCTAGATTTGGCACTTTTGTGCATACATTTTCGCTGCAATTTTTTTTTATGGTCCTCAAAATGGAATAGTACCTATATTCCTTTAATATTGCTTGATATTTTTTTAAATATGATACCAATGTACCTTTTATATAAATTATTTGTTTCTTAATTTTTCAGCTGAAGAGTTAGATGCTAGTAAGTTAATTTTTGATTATCTTTTTGCTAATATTTCTTAAAACAACTTATTTTCTATATTTTTATAAAAAAAATTTTCTAATTTTAGAAGACTATGAAATCTACAAGTTAAAAAAAAAGCTGGAAGAAACGGAGCAAGCAATGGAGCGAATAATGAAGCATATGGGTGCAATGAGTGCATGTCTATCAGAACGTATGACAAATGAAAAAAATGTAAGCCCTGCTGAACAAACTGAAATTAGAGTAAGTATATCTCTTTTTTTTTGTTGTTGTTATTGTTCAAAGTTTACGTTTTGTACTCTTCTACATTGTATGACTGCTGAGAAAGGCAATGTAAAATTATAACTGTGTTTGCATTACGGTTTCTTGCGTAGTTTTTCTAATGCATAAATGAGTGTACTGTAATGAAGTAAACATTTTTTTAGTACAAATGCTCTAATCAAGAGTTCATATATGAGTGTAAAAAGAAAGAATTTAGAAAATAAACCTTTTATTTTTCTGTCATAACCATAATTATCAGTTCCTTGTATGCAAATTTCATCACAGCTGTATTGAGAAAATTACAGAATTATTTAAATGCTTTCATGATAATTAGAAAAAATTTTTAGAAAGAACAAAAACCATTAAAAAAGTAATCAGAATAGCCTTTGCTTCTTTGAAACAGTATTGTTTAATTTAGACAGATATTTGCAAGATCTGTTTTCTTGTGTGCTTTTTTTTAAATTATTTAATCGAGTCCAGTTCAGACTTGCCTCTGCATAGCTCGGAAAATTAACTAGTACTTATACACTACATGCAACAAGATACATATATACAAAATGTTGAAGATACTTTATCTCTTTTTTTATGTAAAAGAATGATCAATATTTTTAATATCGTGAATCAAAATAGCTGACATAATTTGAGAACACTTTGTTTCCAAAATTTGCATACACAGTGGAACGAATAAAATGCAAGGAAAATTGTTGTTACCTGTATATCACTTCTTTTAGTTAAACAAGCAGCAAAAGTACTCTAAACTTTCCTTATCATTATTAGTCCAATGTGTTTATTGTTATCATCTTTGCAGCGAAAGCAGTTTCAGATCAGGTACGCTTGTAAGACAGTTTCAACAAAGAATGATGTAACATCTGAAAAATGTAACCCCAAGGATCTTAAAGGTTGACTTTAAAAATTAAGTTATCGAATCACTTGCAATTGATACAGCACAGAAGGAACAGAACACTTTATTGAAAAAAATTCTTTAACAGTTCAACTGTGATAAGAAACGTGTATGCTGTTCAGAGACAGATTTATTTTTGTAAAAGGATTATGCAAAACAGGGAAGATCCTTTGAGTTCCCACATTACTTCTGATAGGTCTGATTTTCTGGCTAGCAGTCCTGCTGGATAAGTTAATCTTTTGGTATATTTATAAATGGTGATTAAATGTTTACAGTTTCAATCCAAGTTCTGTGAATAAAACAGTAGTGGTAATATATGTCAAAAGAAGTGAACTGCAAGTGAAACAGGGATGAGCCACGTAACATCTATATAGCAATCAAATGAAATTCACATGGTGACATGTAGTTAAGTCTGATGCGAAAGATCGTTTTACTAAAGTTTTGTTTGCAACAGATTTCTACCCTCCTAAATCTTAAGTCTTAATAAAATTAATATGACCACTACCTTGTCCTATTATGAATTGTTTGCAATTAGCAGTCTGAATTATAGCTAGAACCTTGTGAGAAATCTTTACAAAATATAGAAATAATTTAAGTATTAATTGAGATTGGGAATTTTCTATTCTGCATGTGGATTTGATTCTATTTTAGTATGAAAATATCCAGTCATCAAAAGCATGTTAAAGCAGACATAGTATTGCAGATCTCTCACCTGTAATTTTTATAAAAGGTCATCTTATCAGCATATTTATAAACATAATTATATATATGTGTTTGTTTACTACAAATAACATGCTTATAAATTAGATAAATGAATTGTGCATTAATACAAACTGAACTGTATATTTACAAACATGTAATTTTGCAAAAAAAAAAAAAAAAAAATCCTTTCTAACTCACTTTATCCTATTTCTTATTGAAAGTACATTCTTACAAGAATACTGATTCATTGATTAATTTTCAAAGAAAAATTCATGATGAATAATCCTTTGCAATCAAAAAACGCAATCAGCATCACCTTAGTCTTTGATTTCAACATACTTATCCGGTCTCCACAGCTTTTAGCAAATCTTTGCATCATACTTTTATGTCTCCTTTTGCTGTTCTGTCAAAATCTAGGGCACAATTTGAACACAAACTATCCTCATTTTCACATTTTTAGTTAAAATTAACCTACAGCTTTCTTTGCTTATCTCAAGCATGTCTGAAAGTTGCTGAGTTTCACACATCTATCAGCTTTTATCAAAGAATGCATTTTTTCTATCCGCGTTTTCCTCATTTTGTGAAGTTGAAGACTGCCCTAGTTTTGGTTCATCTTCAACGCTTTCATGCGAACATTTAAAGTGGTTGAACCACTCGTAAACTTGTGTTCTTGATAATGATGCATCACCATATACTGATTGAATGATCTCTATGATGTCTTCTCAGTAAATGAAAAATGACTCCATTTTGATATGCAAATGATAAAATGGCCAGTTTTAACTTACATTAACAAAAAATGAGATGTCTTCTTTTTTCTAATGTAAATTTATTCCTTCACTTTATTACTTTATCATTTGGTCTTTTATTTTTCCCAGTAACTTTATAGGCATGCCTTCTATCTTGCATAACTCAAAAATAATTAGCCCAAGAATGTTGAAATTTTGTACATGGGACTGCTTTGACATCTAGTTGTGTCCTTCTCTTTTTATTGTTGCCATCAGCAGTGCCGAAAGGGCACTCTGAGTTCGAAGATCATACCTTACTTTCAAATGAAATAAATTTAACTGAAGGGTTATAGGATGTACTGAAAAGAATTTCTTTTTAAATACATTTTAGCTTGTTTGTTTTTGAGAAAAAGCTAAACCTGAAAGGACTGATTAAAATTTCCTTTTGTGATGTTAATATCAATATTAAAAAAAAAAGGACTTTAGTACTGTTTTAAAAGCTAATCAGGAGTAAATTTTTTGACTCGAAATTCATTGGAACTTAATACTACATTTACACTAAAGTTCCAAAAGAAAAGATTTTTATTTCATATTTATTGCAAAACCTTAAAGCAAATATTTTTCCCCATCTTAAGATTATATTCATGTATATATTAAATTAGAACTAAAAATGTAGCCAAGAAAAATTCAACTGTTAGCTTTCGAGTGTGAAGGTGCACTCTTCCCTCGCTTTTACTTCGGATTGATACTGTGTTAGTCTTCTGCATTTGTCGGTGCTAATAGAAGGTTTGTCTCCTTGAATTTTGCATTATGGGTACTGTAAACTGTAAAATGGCCTTAAGTGCCCTGTGTGTGATGCACTTTTAAAGTATATCTGTTGTTTTGTGTGCCTGCACTTTCTTCACTCTGATTTTTTTCGCAAAACGACTGACTTGTTTACGGATTATGGCATTCTTAAAACAACTCGCAAATGATTCTCAGGAGCTGTAAGGAAAATGGCACCCTGGATTCAGATAATACCTTCCTATATGAACTGACCGAGAAGTTTGTTAGGCTTCTAGTGAAGGATTTGCCTAATTTAGAGTTGTGTTCCCTGAATTAGCTGTCAATCCTATCGCTGCTGCTGCTTCAACAGTTCCAGATGAGGATCCCAAGGAAATGGATTTCCAAGGTTAGCAATAAGTGACGACGAGATCCTGCCTCTCCAACTACGCAATGTAACAATAGATTTGCTGCCCATCCTGTGGATACTGATCCCTCCATGGAAAATGCTGAGGAAAACTTCATTAAATCAAATAAACAAAGAACTGCTACTAAAGCCTCCAAACAGAAGAAATTCATTCCAATTCCTAAGGATGTATTCTCGTTTGGGCCTCAGAAAAAGTGCAAAGGGCCGGAAATCATCCCAACCATCTCTCCCTCCCAGAAGGATCAAGCCACTCCCTCTGCACAGCAACCTACGAATGAGAAAATTCAGGACGTACCACTTGATCCTAAAGAGGACGAATTTAAGTTTACGAAAAGAAGTTCGAAACTTCCACCGATTGTCATCAAGGATTTTAACTGGAAATGGAAAGATATTACTGATCTCTTGGATAACTCAGGTTACAGTGATTTTAATGCCAAGATGAAAGCCATAGATGAATTTGAAATCAAACTCCTACTTCCATTGAGCCTTGCTGTAACATCGTGGACCTCCTCGATGATGAGGAAATTAAATTTCATTCGTATCAGCTTGCTGATGACAAAAGCATCAAAGCCATTACTCGCAGTCTCCTGATTGACACTCCAGTTACAGACATCCAAGATGCTCTGATTGCAGAAGGAGGTTAATAAGGTTGTGCAAACTGTTAACCCTTTGCGGCATGGTGGGTCAATATATGTCCCACCTAATTAATATTTATTTTCTCAGTTAGCTATTTCCGTTAGAAATTTTCTAATCTTTTAAAAATAATCTATTTTAGTTATTATTTTTCTCAGTAGATGTCACTACTATGCCAGGGCTTAAGTTTATAAGCAAAAAATATTCAAAATAGGATCACAAGAGTGATATCCATTTATCTCGCATTTTTCAATATTTTAAAAATTTTGGTATACAATTTATGATATGTATGAATCTTTTTTAATATTCGAAGAAATTTTATTTTCAAAAATCTTAATTGGATTCAATATTTTTATAACATTAATTTTCCGGTTGAAATAAGTGGGTTAAAATTTGTCTTCCCATCACACACTTGAATTTCCGCTCAATATAGATGGCAGCACTTCACGGATTATTTTTTCTTTTCTTTTTTGCATCTACCTTTTTTCGTGATTGCGGCGCACTTTTACATCCGTTGTATGCTTTGATGTGCTAAAATGTCTAGAAAAAAATTAACAACTCAGGAAGCTTTGGATCTTTTTGCTGAATTGCCATCCAATTGCACTCAAATGCTTCAGATGTCAGTTCTGATTCAGATGAAATTGAAATCCAAGAGAGAATAACTGAGGTTGAAGTTATTGCTGAAGAAGGGAAGTAATTATAATTTGTTTGCTTTTTAAAGACACAGACCCATCTATGCATGTAGCACTGTAAATATGAATCGGAAGTATCTACCCACAAATTTATGTCAAGAGGATATATAGACTTTTCAGTTAGCCGATGATTCAATTTA